CCTAAAGAAAAGCTGTGGGGTGAGTTGAAGGTAGGAGTGCATCCGAGAGGACCCGAGGCTCTAAATCAAGGGTTCCCAAACATTTCANGCTCAAAGATGACCCTGCACATTTAGAGGATGTTTGGCTCAACCTGCTGCTGTGAAGCAGGATTCTCCACCATGAACAGAATTAAAAATAAATATGGATCCAGGCTCAAAATGAGCACCTTGATATGTGCTTGTTTTATAAACTATGTGAATCAGGAAATTGTCTATATACCAAACTGAATAATTGTTGTTCTCTACTTCAAAAAACCCAGTTTTTAAACTGGAAAATGCTTTTATTTTATATATTTTTTCAATGTATAACATGGACGCATAAAAATTTTAATTATACTTTTTTTACTTCAGTGATAAATTCTGTTTAAAGTAACAGATTATAATTAAAAATGTCTCCGGATCTTTTCTGGTTGATGATTTTCTTTATTTTCGGACTCTGCTGACTTTTAATCTGATCTACTGGAACCAGAATTTCCCTAAAATAGTAATCCCAAGGGATAAATAAAGTTGAGTCTAAGTCTAATACCGTTCTGCTCTAAAACTCTGACTTGTAACCACTTGCTAACTATTCCAGCTGTGAACTCTCTGCAGATGTTCCACCCATTCTGTCAGTCTCTCACACAGTTTAGTGTAAGAAAAAAAGCAAACAAAGAGGGGTAATTATAATGATAACTTAAATGGATGGATGCCATTTCACACATGGAACGGAGGGTTTTAAATGGAGCTGTTTTCTGTCACTGTGAACATTAACATGTAAACACACTAATCATTTCATCTATAGGTAATTAAGATGGCTCTTTGACAAGTGAAGCTCTCCCAGAGACATATTGATGCATTCTGTTTTGCTCAGACCAGCATCTTACTCCATGATTAACGGTCCAATTATGGACTCTGAGTCATAGTTTGTTTTGTGGGTGAAAATAATTAAGAGTTAATGTTTCCAGCAACTTTTAAAGTTTTGCCTTCCTGTATCGTTACCTCTCCATCCCCCTTGTAAAAAAAGGGGCACTTTTTGGTAATGTAAATATTTAGACAATGATGAATCATTTTGAAATAATTTCCCCCAGTATAATCCATCCATCAGGACAATTAGAGCCCAGAGGGCGTTCGGATTATATGTCTGAAACTTCTGACTGACACCTTTTGATGCAAAGAAGCAGCAGCTCTTTCTTTCCTTCTTTTCTCCCTGGATGATGGACTCTTTCTCAGTCCAGCCATCCTCTGCAAGAAGCTAATTTGGGTTCATTTTATCTAAGATCTTTTGGTCATGATCTATACCTCATGACCATCGGTCAGAATCAGAAAATAGACGGATTGTTAAATCCAGATATGGAAACATGATCTATAATAATAATAACTGAACTTTATTGATCTCACATTGGAGAAATTTAGCTCTGC